CAGAAATTAAAACAATGATGTAAGGGTAGATGTATAGATCAATGAAACATGGTAGGTAACCTAGAAATAGACCAATCACAAATGGTTGATTGATTTTTGACAAAAATACCAAGGCAAGTCAATGGAAGAAAGGATAGTCTGTTTAACAAATGGTACTGGAACAGTTGGACATACAAAGAAAAAACAAAAACAAACCTCAACGCTTTCCTTAACTTGAAATGGATAAGTGACCTGTACCTAAGAACTGAAACTATAAAGAATTAGAAGAAAATCTTTGTGATCTTGAAATAGACAAAGGTTTTTTATAGGAAGAAAGGTGTCTATAGGATACAAAAAGCACAAACCATAAAAAAAATAAATTGGACACTCTTAAGAAAATAATAGACAAGTCACAGGCTGGGAGAAAATATTTATAAAACATATATTTGGGGGAAAAAACTCATATCCAAAATATATAAGAATAATTCCTACTTTATAAGATGAAGACAGCCCAATTAATAAGTGGACAAAAATTTGAACAGTTACATCACCAAAGATAGATGGTTGGCAAATCAATACCTAAAAAGATGTTCATCATTAGACATTAGGGAACTGCAAATTGGAAACCACAATAAGAAGACCTGATTCTATTGTATATATACTATGACGGTTATTACCTGACGAGTATTAAGCTGACTGGAATGGCTATAAAGAATTTTCATAACAAGTGCTGACGAGGATGTGAAGGAACTGGAATTCCTACTTAACTGGTAGGAATGCAAACTTTGGAAGTTTGGCACTTTCTTGTAAAATTAAATATTGACTTGCCACATGACTCAGCAGCCCCACCCCTAGATGTTTACCCAAAAGATGTGAAAACATAGAACGTCCGCACAAAGACGTGTGTCCAGGTGTTCATAGCATCTTTATTCATACGGTCAAAATTGAGAGGCAACCCAGGTGTCTACCAACGTCCATGTAATGAATAGTACCCAGCAACAGAAGGGAAGGAATACTCATACTTGGCAGCAGCGTGGAGGAATGGCAAAAGCATTACGCCAAGTGGCGAGGCGGGGCACAGAGGACTGTATGCTCTACGAGTCCCGTTTCTGGAGAAGGCAAAACTAGAGATCAGATCAGTGGTTGCCAGGGGCTGCAGGTGGGGGTAGAGGGTTGACTGCAGTGAGGTGGGAGGGAGCTTTTGGGGTGATGGAAATGTCCTCTGTCTCTGTTGTGGTGGTAGTTACACAAGTAGGTACGTTTGTCAGAGCTCAGCAAGTTTTATAAAGAGTGAATATTATCGTAATAAACTGAGGGAAAACGGGATCTTGCTCTATATGTTAATTGGCACAAGCCAAAGTGGATGCATGTAAATTGTAGTAAAAAATACAAGTAGACATTTAATAAGTGGCATTAACAGTTTTTTCCTCTTAAGTTTTTTATTTCCCAACCACATAAATTGTCTACCAGTTAAGGACACCGTTAGGAATTTTCAATAATCCACATGTCTTTTTCAAGCATATTTCTCTAGCTTGGTAAGGGAGACTACCTTAGATCGATAGCTCTTTGGCCAGCATGGTCATGTAATAGAAATATATTTAACAGAGTATCTAGAAAAAGTGCTAAAAAGCCTGAGGCCAAAACATGTCTTCAGAAAGTCACACAATATGTATAATCGAGATAGCAATGTGTATGGCGGGGTTTGGTTTCCTTCAGATTCAAATCTCATCTCCCTGCTGAACTTATCAGTGTAGATATCCCCTGGCACCACGTATTTATCATGTCCACATTACTTCTCCCCGTTTCTGTTCCCCCAAAAAAACTCCTGTTCTTCCTGCTTCTGGTTCCTTATTCTAGAGAGAATGTCACCAACATCTGTTGGTCCTTAACACTGGAAACATAGGTGTCATCTTTGACTCTTGGAATTCTTTTCCCCGTTGTTCTTTTGGGTTGACCTGTGAAAGATGTTTAAATATTAAGGACATTAGCTGTTGTCTGTCTTGTGTATGCACATGTCTCCCAGTTTATGGTTTACCTTTGTATACAGTATTTGTGTGTGTATAGTATAGATGTTTTAAATTTTTATGTGTTCAAATTTATAAAATTTAGGTTTCTATATATTCAAGCTTATCAGTAATTTTCTTTATGGTGTCAGGATTTGATATCAAGTGTAGAAATATTCAGGCCAATTTTATTCAGTGAACATGATCACAGGCCAATGAGCTTTTCAAAAACCTATAAAAATATTTTAAACCTGAAATAAAATATTTTTTGTACCAGAAAACAAAAGGAAAATTGCAAATATAATTAAACTAAATGTTTAAATGTCTATAAACATAACATTGTATCACCTTCATTAATTGTTAAATTTAATGTTCACAAGCATTTTAAGTCCGTTGCTGTGTCCTACCTGCTTGAATTTCAGTGGCACTCTTTTCAGTCCCTTCTTTATATTTCTGCTGACACTGGCGAATTTCAAGCCCCCTAAAGACCGAGCTACCAGTCTCCTCATTGCTCTACTGCCACAGATTTCTAGGTTCTCCAGGTCACTCTTTATAGTTATCATCCTAACACAGGGACCAAACTATGCCCCTCCCATCCTCATTAATGCCAAGCTTCTTAGTATAGGATGGAAGGCCCTATGCAGTTTGACCAAAACCCAGCCTCTCTGCTTTTGACTCTGTTGTCTGTCTGAGCCAGCGGCCAGCTCTCTCAGCATCCCCTGTGCTCCCAGGCCTCGGCTAGCGGTGTTTTCTTACTCCGCTCTGCCTTTCCTTCTCAGCTCACCTGGAATTTTACTCTATCCTTCAAAGCTCAGCTTACATACGACCTACTTGTGTTTTTCCTGATTCCACAACTTCCTCTCCCTCCACACCCCCCTTTGCAGTGTGTGTGTGTGTGTGTG